GTTTGCTCACCTCCTATGTCCTGAAGGACCTATGAGCTTTCCTAGATTGGTACTCAGGATGCTTATGTATTTCCTTTTTCTACCCCCCAAACCATAGTTTCCAAAATTACAATAGAAAAATATTTCTGAATTGAGTAATTGTTCTCTTTGGATGTCATTTTATTTTGATTTAGGAAATGCATCCCATAAAAGATGAGAAGGGAATTGGGATGATGGAACTTAGAGGTGATCAACACAAAATAACATGTTTTCCTCTGCTAGGAGATGTAAATCTATTTGACAGAAAACTGTCTCTGTTAAAAAATTAATCTGGGGTGTGCTTTGTAACTTGTTTTTCTGTATGTTTCTTGTCCTTCTCCATTTAGGAGATGCCATTTTGACCCTCAGCTTCACTTCCACCCCCATCTCCATCTCTGTTTCTCTTCCTCTTCTCCTTTCCTTCCTATTCAACAGGAGGTTTTTTCTCCATAAATCCCTTACCAGCCCATTATCTTCAGCAGTGACTAGTTCTCAAATTATTTCATGATGGTGTTCACGCATGTTCTGACAATTGTGGTTTCAGGTATACACACCTGTCAGTTTCTGTGATAAAACAATTTTTCCACCTAATCTTGATTAATTTTATCATCTAATTTAATTTAATTTTATCATCTAATCTTGTGAGATGGAGGTAAGATCTGACCACAAACAGAAAGACACAGCAAGGTGAAGTTAATTATCACAGAGGCTAGTTAGTTTTGTTGGCACCTGAACAAAAGCTATGAAGTATAGATAGACATTGTGTCCACTTCTCCTACTGGCCCATGCTTTTCTGTGGCTATCTATATTTGGATTCATGAGAGAATGTGCTAGAACTGTGATATGAATTGAGTCCTACCAAACCGCAAAATATGCTTGAGGAGCCCAAGGTAGACAGAGCCATGATTAAGGGGCAACTGAGTAGTTCAGGAAAAGAGCAGGGAGTTGCCGTGAGATGCTGGTGCCTCTTGCTCCTGCCAAGATAAATGTCAATATATTTGCTGGAACCCAATCAGCCCCCAGTCCAGGCATGTACTTAAACCGTGATCCAAGGCCATTACACCATGTGCATGAGAAAGAGAGGTGACAAATGCAAGCAAATTAATTAAACACAGACATTTGCCTCTGACAACCTTGAGCTTAAAGTTAGGAAACAACCTGTAGGTAGGAATTCACTCTGCTAGGCAGAAGGAAACCTATTCCCCACAACTCACAGCTGCTATTACTGGAGGAGGCAGAACGGAGGAAGTAGATTCCCGCACCACACACACACAGTAGCATATTGAATATTGATTAGAAATGATAATTTATTGATGTTATAAAGAATAGAAATTTGGACACATCAAATGCAAACAAGATTGCTTTATTGAGAGTCTGGGAGCTTCCAATCCAATTCTCTAGGCCCTAACAGAAAGGTTCATATTATCTTAGAAGTGAAAGTTATCTTGTAAGTCCAAGCTCCCACACAATAATGCAAGGGTGTCTTCTTCAGATTTGTTCATCCACTTTGTGTAAATGTTAAGCTCACATACATACATACAGAGACACCTCACACCCATTCTGTCTTCGACTGGCCTCTTCAACAGGGAGGATACTCCTAATCACTTTCCCCTAGTATCCAGGTGGGCTCTGCTCCATGCTTCTTCCATCTGCAGAAATCCACCACCACCACCACCATCAGCAACCCTTTGTTTCCCCATCCCTATTATGTGCAGCTATTTCTGAGGGTCATGCTTCCTCAAGTGTGGTGTGTGCATCACTAACAGTCTTCAACACAATTTTTGGTAGTACACAGGTGAACATTTTGTTTAAATAGCATGGGTTCATTTTAATGTCCATTAGGTAAAAAAGTCACTAACACATGGAATGTGAATGTTATTGCTCAAGAAGAGACTAAGGAAAAGAAGTCTATTTCTAAATCAAAATGTAACTATATTACAGACACTGTGCTAAGTGGTTTACATGCAAAAAGAGTGAGAGTTGTATAGGAATAACTGAAGTCTGGAAACCACGGCTAAGCATTGTCCCCACGTCCCCACTACTCCTTCAGATGACTGAAGTGTCATCATACCACAGTCAGATAGGCCAATGTTTCTTTTTCTCAAGGTGTTTATTTGGGAAATTGGAATTGATCCTAGATTATGTCCCTTCTCTGGCAACCCTGGATCTTTTCCCTTGCTGGAAGGTGTCCAAGTGACAAATCCCAAGCGGTCCCAGAAGGAGCTCTCTATGACACAGCAGCTCTCGGGCCAATGATTGGGAAAAGTTGCAAGATACTGTCTTTCTCACTAAGGATAGAAGTTCTGATGAGGTTCTGGGGGAGTTAAAGATGAGACAGAATCTTACAACTCCCAGTACCTCATGGATGGGCATGTCAGCAATGGAAGATAAGGGAAGAGGACAAGGAGTCTTCCCTCTCATTCTGGGCCCTGTCCCAGCCTTACTCAACATTTCCTGACTCTTAGGGATCCATTAGTGGCAGGTCTCTGCCTTGGATGCTATTCATTCAGTAGCTACTAAGGTCATGTATTGTCCCAAAGCTCAAGACACTTTCTTGTGGCTATAGCCTTAGAAGTACAGCCCCTTTGCCCATCATTCTCCTTAGAGCAGTTGTTCTCAGCTGGGGACAATTTTGTGTCCCAACGAACATTTGGCAATGTCTGGAGACATTTTTGGTCATCACAGCTTGATGTCAGGGAGTACTACTGGCACCTAGAAGCCAGGGATGCTGACTGACACTCTACAAAGCACAGGGCATTTCCCCTACAATAAAGAAGTATCTGGCCCCAAATGTCAATAGTGCTGAGATTGAGAATCTCTGCCTTGAGTCAGTCATCTACACAGCAGCAAAATTTCAAATGTAAATGAAACAGAAACTACTTCAAGAGTGATAATTTGCTAAAGCAGAAATGACATCCTGAGAGGGAATTTCAGATGTATTCTGATGTATTCGAGTTGGCTTGGATTCATAGTGACTATGCTGTACCAACCTAGGGGCTTGTTCTCAATGAGATTCACTCATTCTGAATACTGTTGCCATATTCAATTAATTCTGACAAGTCCTGCTCCAGGAATCCATTCCTTGCATCTTCCAGAATCCCATATGCTCCTTGGAGTCAGCCCTTGGTTTGGCAGAGCTGATTCTTTCCCTGATGATGTATTGTGCTATCACAGTTGAGGCATAGACTCTGAAGTCAGGCTACTTGAGTTTGAACCTTGGACTGACGACTTGATAGCTATGAAACTGTGTGCAAAACTCTTTATTTCTCTAAGCCTCACCCTCCTCATCCTTAAAATGGTGAGAATAGTAGCACAGCACTTATAGGGTTGTGCCTGACATAGAAAACACGAAGATGTTATAATCTTTGTTTAAGAATTCTATATCACTTTGATCACCAGAGGTTGGTGAACTGACTAGGGCAGTGTTGCATAAGATTAGGAGCACAGACTCTGAAGCCAGATTTCTTGGGTTGGAACCTGACCCTACCATGTACTTGCTTTGTGATTTTGGCTAATTCCTTTATGGTTTTCTGTGCTCAGTTTTATCATCTGTAAAATGAGAATAATATTAGGTATCTTGTAGGGTTGTTGGAGTCCTTTGGTGGTGCAGTTAAGTACTTGGCTAGTAACCAAAACATTGGTGGTACTAATCCACCCAGAGGCATCTTGGAAGAAAGGCTTGGCAATCTATTTCTTAAAAATCAGCCATGAAAAATCCTGTGAAGCACAGTTCTACTCTGACACACGTAGGGTCACCGTAAACTGGAGCTGACTTGATGGCAACTGGTTTGTAGGGTTGTTAGGAGGATTATTAAACTAATATAGGCAAAAGACTTAGAATATCCATGTCACATAGTATCATGGATTGAATTATGTTCCCCCAAAATGCGTGTAGCAATTTGGGTAGGCCATGATTCCCAGTATTGTGATTGCCTACCATTTTGTCATCTGATGTGATTTTCCTATATGTTATAAATCTTATCACTGTAATGTTAATGAGGTAGATTAGCAGCAGTTATGTTGATGAGATCTACAAGATTAGATAGTGTCTTAAGCCAATGTCTTTTGAGATATAAAAGAGAGGAGCAAGCAGAGAAACAGGGGGACCTCCTACCACCAAGAAACCAGCACCGGGAGCAGAGCCTGAACTTTGAACCTGAGGTTCCTGTGCAGAGAAGCTTCTAGACCAAGAGAAGATTGATGGCAAGGACTTTCCCCCAGAGTCAACAGAGAAACAAAGCCTTCCCCTGGAGCTGGCAACCTGAATTTGGACTTCTGGCCTACTAGACTGTGAGAGAATAAATTTCTTCTTGTTAAAGCCATCCATTTGTGATATTTCTGTTATAGCAGCCCTAGATGACTAAGACATATAGTAAGCTCTAGATAAATGCACATTATTGTCATTTTTTTTTTACTCTTCTCTTTTGATCTATTGCCAATCAAAACATTTTTCCTTTTCTCAGGGGAACAAATTGTTGAATGAAAAGTTCACATGAATATACAAGACCTGAGTTACCACAAGACAAAGTATTAAAATTGTCAAAGACCCCTTGCCATCCAGTCACAATATTAATTACACATCAAGAGTGTGGGGTTTGAGATAGTGCTTCAGATGGATGTTCACAGCCAGGACAACCAAGTACTTAAGATTTTTGCGTGGGAATCGGGACACCTGTAGCTGTGTCCTGTGGCCTTACTCCAACTTACTTTCCTCTTGTGGGGAACAGTTTCCACCAGGTGAGCTTATTACTTCCATTCTCATAACCTTCTGGAAAAGTGGACAAGAGCAGATGATTACTTGTGAGGCTGAATTATTCTCCACCTGACGCATATTTGAATTCTAAATTGGGATTTTTGAGTTTTCAGTGAAATCACGTTTCTGGCACACGTGACCATGGATGCTAATGACCAGTGTGGAAGTATAAATAGCTGTGGAGGAGATCGCTTCATCCTATTCCCCGGCCGGAATCCAGTGAGCAACCATGAAGGCCTTTACCCTCTTCATTCTCCTGGGAGCTGCTGGTGAGTCTCTCGTAATGAATTAGTTGGTGTCTATCATAGGTGATTATCACGTTTTTAAGTTTGTGCTCTGGAAGAAAGCAATGAATATTAAACGTAGTATCTGTAGTCAAGAAGCCTAGCATGTTGGAACAGCAGTGTATAATACGTAAGCTTATAGGTACTTAAATCTCACTTGTTGAGTGCAAGTGCTACAGGTCAGGAAGATCACGGTGAGCAGGAGTGACCAGGGTGGGAGCATAAAGAGGCAAGACTAGCTCTGAACTTCAAATATATATATTTACCATTGAGTCAACTCTTATCATGGCACACCCATGTGTGTCAGAACTGTGCTCTATTGGGTTTTCAATGGCTAATTTTGTGGAAGTAGATCACCAAATTTGAACTGCCAAATTTTCAATTGGTAGTTGAGTGCTTAACCATTTGTACCGGTAATTGGGACTAATCTTGTGCTCCTTGAAGAGTCTATTAGTGTCAGAGCCCAAGTCTCTCTGTAAAGGACTCTATCCAAGGGACCTTAGGAGGCAGAGACATTTTATTTCTCATGCATGAGAACTATGGGCTTGTGTTTATAACATCTTTGCCAGTGAAGTCTCTCTGGTTAAGATAATATTTTTTTAATCATGAAAAAAATACAGAAATGGCTATTTCTATTTCAGATTACTAAATTTTATACTACAAAAACTAAATACTAAAATTTCCAAATTTGGGCAGGCATAATTCCAGTACATCTGTCTAGATACCTGGGAACTTTTTCCTTAAAATTCTTTTAAAATACTTGTAAAGTTGTTGTGGTTATTGTTGTTGTTAGGTGCCATCGAGTCCGTTCTGACTCATAACGACTCTATGTACCACAGAACAAAACACTGCCTGATCCTGCTCCATGCTCACAATCATTGCTATGCTTGAGTCCATTGTTGCAAGCACTGTATCAATCCATCTCGTTGAGGGTCTTCCTCTTTTTCGCTGATCTTGTACTTTACCAAGCACTTGTATAGTAAGGCTTATATAAATAATCACAGACTTTTGGAGTTGCAGGAAATTTTGACAAATTAGAGTGCCAATCTTCACAATGCTAGATTAATTGAAGAATGTTGTAAAGATAGTTGGAACAAGGGGAAAGGTTGGGGAGAGACCTGATAATGTTTTGTGAAATGCCTTTGTGAAACCTTTAGGCTAAAAAGAAGAAGGGAAATTTGGGGGACAAAAGTACAAAACTCCCATTTCCGTCCAGGTCAGAACTTTCTCAGGTAGCTTCTAAGCCTCTCTTTATCCTTATCTCATGGGAAGATTATATACCAATCACCAAAAACAAACACCTCATGATAATGCAAAGCTGTATTGTAGACCTGTTTGCAGGGTTGATGAGCGGGGCTCTGTGAACAAAGTATATTTATACCCTCAGGTTGTGGTATAAGGGGGCTCTGATCTGTGGGTGCGTGTGTGCGTGTATGTGTGTGTATGGTACACATGGAAAGATCAACCTATTTACCAAATTTAAAGCACTAATTGAAAATAGAGTACTTATATCGTAATGGTATAAGTAGTAAGCATGTTGAAGATATGGAATAATAAGATTTTGAGACAAATTACATGAAAACCACCATGTCCTGGGTATGTGGGACAAGAGAACATTAACTGCTTTTTTCTTAATACTCAGCAAGAACTTAACAGTGGAGTAGAAATTCCAAGAAAGATCTGTCTAACAAATTGTTACCAACTTTCTCCCTGTCAGTTGCTTTCGCCACTGATGATGATGATGACAAGATTGTTGGGGGCTACACCTGTGCAAAGAATTCCATCGGCTACCAGGTGTCCTTGAACTCGGGCTATCACTTCTGTGGAGGCTCCCTCATCAGAAACCAGTGGGTGGTGTCCGCGGCTCACTGCTACAAGTCGTAAGTGCCAACACCGATGTCCCTGTGCCAAAGCCAGGGAGCCCTAGAGTCAGGCTTGAGAGGTGAAGCATCCAGCTTCTAAGGCCCCTACTATTCCCCAGGTGTCGTACAGTGCAGGGAAAGAATTATCGCCTGAAAGGGGCTGTCAGAGTTCCCTTGATGTCCTCCCAAATGACAAGACTATCGACACGAGGATGTGTGGAGGGGGAGTGGTGGGTGGGGGAGTATCCCTAGAAAGAGCTTGGGAACATGAATCAGGACGTAGTCCTAGTCATTATAGCTCAGCCAAAAAAACAAATAGATAAAAGGCTTGTGGAGGTAATAAAGTACATGAACTTTCAGTATAACATTAAAAATAAGTATAACTCCTTCTGTCCCCTTAATATTTTGTCTCACCTCTGACTCCTGCCTAGTCTCCCTACAATAATCAGTAATCCAAAAGAGAAGGAAGGACAGGTGCTGATCAACTACCAATGCCCTTTCCTCTCCCACTCTTTTATCTAGGTCTTTGTATCCTGTTCCTATACATGTCTAATCTAACAAGGTGGAGGCTGTGAGTTTGTGCTTGTGGTGACACTTACCTAGGGAGTAGTCTCACCTCACTGTGTCCCATAGGTCTACCTTGAGCACGCAATCACTTATGCAAGTGAACGCTCAAAGGGACTGCTATCTGTGCTTGTGTTCATGATGGGGGGGGCGGGGTTGGGAGGTGGCAGGACTTCAAGCTGGATACTTAGGAAACTTTTACTCCCTTAACCCAGCAAAATCCAGGTGCGTCTGGGAGAACACAACATTAATGTCCTTGAGGGCAGTGAGCAGTTCATTAACTCAGCCAAGGTCATCCGCCACCCCAGCTACAACTCACAAACCCTCAATAATGACATCATGCTGATTAAACTGAGCTCCGCTGCTACCATTAACTCTCAAGTGTCCACAGTCTCACTGCCAAACTCCTGCGCCTCTGCGGGCACCCAGTGCCTCATCTCTGGTTGGGGCAACACCCTAAGCAGTGGCTGTAAGTACCCGTGGAACTGAAGTGTCCAGTCTGAGAGTCCTAGAGGGGGCAGGCACACTGAGGATCCCTTAGTCCAAGCTGTCCCTAGACACAAGGTTTTGGGGCATATGGAGCCTTAGAATATATTAATGGAAATGAGGAAGATCCCTTTGCTGGGACCATGCAAAAGACAGCAAAAATGAACCATGATAAAGATACCAAAGTATTCAACTGAAGGGTGGTTAGTGATGCTGAGAGAACCAGGCACTGGGGAGGTAAACAGAACAGAAGCTATGGGATTTGGTATTGCCTGCAGTGTAGACCTGCTTGAGAATAAAGCCTCTAGACTTGAGGCCTGTGTTCACTGAGACTCTCTTCAGAGAGAGAAAAGCTTGCTGCTTAGAACCTTCCAGAACAGCATTGTTCTTCTGAACTAGAAGCCATTGGCAATCTGAAAGAAAGAGTGAGAGTGTTGGGAAGGAGTGAGGAGATATTGGGAAGGAAATTCCAGGAATCATGTGAGTAATCTGTGTTCACTCTTGCCCTCAACAGCCAACTACCCAGACCTCTTGCAGTGTCTGAAGGCCCCCATCCTCTCTAGCAGTGTCTGCAGCAGTGCCTACCCAGGCCAGATCACCAGCAACATGTTCTGTGCGGGCTACGTGGAGGGTGGCAAGGACTCTTGCCAGGTTCGTTTCTCTGCCCTCCTTCTCACCCCAGCTCAGTTTCACTCTGTTCTATCATATTTCCTTTTTTTCTGGAACAGGGAGTCTTGATTTTGACGGGTAAGGGATAGATATAGGATGAATTATAGGACAGAGTAGCTGATTATGAGGGATGAGGGATAGCTATGGGAGAATTATTGATTTTCTTTTTTGTTAGGGTAACCATTAACCATAAAGATACACAGAAGACTGTTGGTTAACAGTATGTCTGGGTGAATTTTGTGGGAGTATATTGCGGAAAGGAACCCTTGTGGAAAGAGTATGGATAGCTGGCAACATTAAATCTCCCCAGTCCTCACTCTTCTTGGCCCCACAGGCCTGAAGCTGTGGAAAGAGACGGAGCTAGAAGGAGTATGAGGAGGAATGGGGTAGAACATGAAGACTGAGGGTTGGATTTCCAGGAGAAGATAAGTTACTTCCTTGAGGATGGCAACCTGAGAAGATGGCACCAGGCTAATGGAGGGCTGTTCTGAGCCCTTCTCCCATTTGGGCCCAAGTAAGAGTCCTGACTGTCTCTTCCTTCTTTCTCAGGGTGACTCTGGCGGCCCCGTGGTCTGCAATGGAGCACTTCAGGGCATCGTCTCTTGGGGCTATGGCTGTGCTCAGAAAGACAAACCCGGCGTCTACACCAAGGTCTGCAACTACGTGAGCTGGATTCAGCAGACCATCGCTGCCAACTAGATGCCTCCCTGGGCCCACCCGTACCTTTCCATGACTCATCCCTCACTAGTCAACCTCACCTTCCTCCCATGCCTAAAAACAGTATCTAAATAAAGTATTCCATTATGCACCACACGTCTGTCCAAGAGTTGTCCTTGCTTGATATTATGAATGTTCTCTTGAAATGGCTGGTAAGTAAGAAGGTGCATGTAGTATAACATTATATTAAGAGAGAATTTGAAGACTAGTCAGTCATTCAGTCAAATCAATATAAATTTACTAATCACCTACTCTCTTGGTTATGTAATGCTGCTATAACAGAAATACCACGAATGGGTGGCTTTAACAAACAGAAATTTGTTTTCTCATAGTTTAGGAGGCTGGAAGTCTGAATTCAGGATGCAATCTCTAGGGGAATGCTCTCTCTCTATTGGCTCTTTGGGAAGGTTCTTGTTTCTTTTCAGCTTCTATTCCTTGGCTCCTTAGTGGTCTTCATGTGACGTGATGTCTATCTCCCCACATCTCTGATTTCTTAATCTACTTCTTTTATATCTGGAAAGAACTTGATTTAAGACATATCGTAATTATGTTGTGTTATTAACATAACAAAGATCATTCCCAAATGAGATTATAACCACAAGTAAATTGCTATAGTTGTTAGGTGTCATCCAGTGGGTCACTATTCATAGCTACACTCTGTACAAGAGAATGAAACACTGCCTGGTCCTGTGCCAGCCTCACAATTGTTATTCTTGTGCCCATTGTTGCAGCCACTGTGTCAATCCATCTCTTTGAGGATCTTTCTTTTTTTGCTAGTATCATACCTAGTATGTTGTACTTCTTCTGGGATTGGTCCTCCTTGATAATGTGTCCAAAGTATTGAGATGAAGCCTCCCCATTGTCAGTTCTAAAGAGCATTCTGGCTGTACTTCTTCCAAGACAGATTTGTTCCTTTTTCTAGCAGTCTATGGTATATTCAATATTCTTTGCCAACACAGTAATTCAAAGACACCAATTCTCCTTTGATTTTCTTTATTCATTGTCCAGTTTTGGCATGCATATGAGGTGATGGAAAACACCATGGCTTGGGTCAGGTGAACCTCATCCTTAAAGTGACATCTTTGCTTTTTAAAACTTTGAAGAGGTCTTTTGTAGCAAGTTTACCCAATGCAGTGCATCCTTTGATTTCCTTTTTTTTTTTTAATTGTCGGGGTTTAAGTGAAAGTTTACAGTTCAAGTTAGTCTCTCATAAAAAAAATTATACATACATTGTTATGTGACCCTTGTTGCTCTCCCTGTACTGTGACAGCACACTCCTCCTTTCCACCACAGATTTCCTGTGTCCATTCAACCAGGTCCTGACCCTCTCTGCCTTCTCATCTCGCCTCCGGACAAGAGCTTCTCATTTAGTCTCATGTATCTACATGAGCTAAGAAGCACACTCTTCATGAGTATCATTTTATGTCCCATAGTCCAGTCTAATCTTTGTCTGAAGAGTTGGCCTCAGGAATGGTTTTAGCTCTGGGCTAACAGACAGTCTGGGGGCCATATCTTCTGGGGTTCCTCCAGTCTCAATGAAACCACTAAGTCTTGCCTTTTTACTAGAATTTGAGTTCTGCACCCCACTTTTCTCCTGCTCCATCACAGACTGTCTGTTGTGTTCCCTGTCAGGGCAGTCTTTGGTGGTAGCCAGGCACCATCTAGTTCTGGTCTGAGACTGATGAAGTCTCTGTTTTATGTGGCCCTTTCTGTCTCTTGGGCTAATACTTTCCTTGTGTCTATGGTATTCTTCATTCTCCTTTACTCCAGGTGGAATGGGACCAATTGATGCATCTTAGATGGCTGCTCTCTAGCTTTTAAGACCCCAAACGCCACTCTCCAAACTGGGATGCAGAACATATTCTTAATAATCTTTGTTATGGCAATTGACCTAGATGGTCCCTGAAATCATGGATCCCAGACCCCTGCCCCTGTTACTTTGTCCCTCAAAGTGTTTAGTTGTATTTAGGAAACTTTTTAGCTTTGGTTTAGTCCAGTCGTGCTGACTTCCCCTGTAGTGTGTGCTGTCCTTCCCTTCACCTAAAATAATTCTTGTCTACTATCTAGTTAGTGAATACCCGTCTCCCTCTATCCCAACCCTTGTAACTATCAAAGAATGTTTTCTTCCGTGTTTAAATCTTTTCCTGAGTTCTTATAGTAGTGGTCTTATGCAATATTTGCCCTTTTGTGACTGACTAAATTCACTCAGCATAATGCCTTCCAGATTCCTCCATGTTATAAGATGTTTCATGGATTCATCCTTGTTCTTTATTGTTTCTTACTATACCATTGTGTGAACATACCAAAATTTGTTTATCCATTTGTCCATTGATGGGCACCTAGGTGGTTTCCAACTTTTTGCTATTGTGAAAAGTGCCACAATGAACACGGGGCTGCATATATCTATTGGTGTAATGGCTCTTATTTCTCTAGGATATATTTCTAGCTTTTTAAGGAAGTGCCAAATCGATTTTCAAAGTGGTTGTACCATTTTACATTCCCACCATGAGTGTATAAGTGTTCCAGTCTTCCCACAACCTCTCCAACATTTATTATTTCGTGTTTTTTGGTTTAAATCTAGCCTTCTTGGGGTGAGGTGATAGCTCATTGTAGTTTTGATTTGCATTTCTCTAATAGCTAATGGTCGTGAGCATTTCCTCATGTGTCTGTTAGTCACCTGAATGTCTTCTTTGGCGAAGTGCCTGTTCATATCCTTTGCTCACTTTTTAATTGGGTTGTTTGCCCTTTTGTTGTTTAGGTTTTGCTATATCTTATAGATTTTAGAGATTAGAAACTGATCGGATTTGTCACAGACAAAATTTTATTCCCAGTCTGTTGGCTGTTTTTTTACTCTTTTGTTGAAGTCTTTCGATGAGCATAAGTGTTTGATTTTTAAGGGCTCCCAGTTATCTAGTTTCTCTTCTGGTATGTGTGCGTTGTTACTTATGGTTTGTATTCTGTTTATGCTATGCATTAGAGCTCCTAGAGTTGTCCCTATTTTTTTCTTCCATGATCTTTCTCGTTTAAGATTTTATATTATGTCTTTGATCCATTTTGCATTAGTTTTTGTGCATGGTGTGAGGTTTGGGTCTTGTTTCAGTTTTTTACAGATAGATATTCAGTTACGCCAACACCATTTGTTAAAGAGACTGTCTGTTCCCCAATTAATGGACTTGGGGCATTTGTCAAATATCAGCTGCTCATAGTTGGATGAATTTATATCTGAATTCTCAATTCTGTTCCATGGGTCTATGTATCTGTTGTTGTACCAGTACAATGCTGTTTTGACTACTGTGGTGGTATAATAGGTTCTAAAATTAGGTCGTGTGAGGCCTCTAACTTTGTTCTTCTTCTTGAGTAGTGCTTTACTTATCCGGGGCCTCTTCCCTTTCCATATGAAGTTGGTGACTGTTTTCTCCATCTCGTTAAAAAATGCCACTGGAATTTGGATCGAGATTACATTGTATCTGTAGATCGCTTAGGGTAGAATTGACATTTTCACAATGTTGAGTCTTCCTATCCATGAGCAAGAACGTTTTTCCACTTATGCAGGTTTCTTTTGTTTTTTTGCAGTAACGTCTTGTAGTTTTCATTGTATAGGTCTTTTACGTCTCTGGTTAGATTTATTCCTAAGTATTTTATCTTCCTGGAGGCTATTGTAAATGGTATTGATTTGGTGATTTCCACATCATAGTTCTCTCTGTTGGTGTAGAGGAATCCAACTGATTTTTGTATGTTTATCTTGGATCCTGATACTTTGCTGAAATCTTCTATTAGTTCCAGTAGTTGTGTGTGTGTGTGTGTGTGTGTGTGTGTGTGTGTGTGTGTGTGGATTCTTTGGGGTTTTCTGTGTATCAGATCATATCATCTGCAAATAGAGATAGTTTTACTTCTTCCCTACCAATTTGGATGCCTTTTATTTCTTTTTCTAGCATCATTGCTCTGGCTAGGACCTCCAGCACAATGTTGAATAAGAGTGTTGATAAAGGGCATCCTTGTCTGGTTCCCATTCTCAAGAGGAATGCTTTCAGACTCTCTCCATTTAGGAAGATGTTGGCTGTTGGCTTTGTATAAATGCCCTTTATTATGTTGAGGAATTTCCCTTCTATTCTTATTTTGTTGAGAGTTTTTATCATTAATGGGTGTTGGACTTTGTCAAATGCATATTCTGCATTAATTGATAAGATCATGTGGTTTGTCTTTTGTTTTGTTACTGTGATGGATGACATTGATTGTTTTTCTAATATTGAACCATCTCTGCATACCTGGTATAAATCACACTTGGTCATGATGACATATTTTTTTGAAATGTTGAATTCTATGGGTAGAATTTTGTTGAAGATTTTTGTGTCAATGTTCATTAGGGATATTGGTCTGTAATTTTCTTTTTTGTGGTGTTTTTACCTGGTTTTCTTTTCAGGATTATGCTGGCTTCATAGAATGAGTTTGGGAGTATTCCGTCCTTTTCTATGCTCTGAAATACCTTTAGTAGTAGTGGTATTAACTCTTCTCTGAACGTTTGGTAGAATTCTCCCGTGAAACCTCCAGGCCAAGGTTTTTTTTGTTGTTGGGAATTTTTAAATTACTCTTTCAATCGCTTCTTTTGTTATAGGTTTATTTAGTTATTCTACCTCTGATTGTGTTAGTTTAGGTAGGTAGTGAGTGTCTAGAAATCTGTCCATTTCCTCTAGGTTTTCAAATTTGTTAGAGTACAATTTTTCGTAGTATTCTGTTATGATTCTTTTAATTTCGGTTGGGTCTGTGTGATATCACCCATCTCATTTCTTATTCGGGTTATTTGCTTCCTCTCTTATTTTTATTTTGTCAGCTTGGCCAATGGTTTATCAATTTTGTTGATCTTTTCAAAGAACCAACCTTTGGTCTTCTTAATGCTTTCAATTGTTTTTCTATTCTCTATTTCATTTAACTCTGCTCTGATTTTTATTATTCCCTTTCTTCTGGTGCCCGAGGGCTTCTTTTGC